GTTATTGTTAGGGATCAATTGAATTAGCTGCTTCTGCTTTAGGATCAATGGTATAACTTTCTTTCTCCCATATATTTGCTGATTTTTTTGTTATATTGAATCAAAAATATTATTAAATTACATTAAATATATAAAATATATAGTATGCAACAGTAACAGGATGGTCAGTTTTATTTGGTGCAGCTACTGCTCTAGATACACTTGCTTCTCAAGCTTACACATCTGGAAATCCTAAAATGGTAGGTGTGTTTTTACAACGCGGATTAGCAATCATACTATTGGGTTTTATCCCAATTGCTGTGTCCTGGTGGGAGGCAGAACGAATACTGGTCTTTTTGGGCCAAGATCATGAAATTGCTCGACTGTCTGCCTTATTCACAAGATATTTATTGATTGGTGCTCCTGCTTTATTGTCTTTCGAAGCTTTAAAAAAATATTTACAAGCTCAAGGTAATTAATTGATCAGTTGATTGATTGAAAAATTGAAAAAAGATAATGTTTATCTAATATTTAAATATTATTGTTATTAATTGATAGGAATTATGAAGGCCAGCACATATGTTTTAATAATATGTTCTCCAATAAATATAATATTGAACTATGCTTTAGTTTGGTATCCACCTGTATCACTTGGATTTATTGGTGCTCCTTTTGCAACCTCAATAACCTATTGGCTGATGCTAATTCTGATAATAATCTACATCAAATATTTTAATGGTTATCAAGTATGGGGTGGTTGGACTTACATGGCTTTTCATGATTGGTTACCTTTTCTTAAATTGGCTTTGCCTGGTGTCATAATGGTTTGTGCTGAATGGTGGGCATTTGAATTAGCAGGTACAATTATTTATCTAATTGAAATGGAATAATTCATTAATTATAATAATAGTAATTATATAATTAATAATCAATAATTTGGGGGTTTTAAGCTCTTGCTGCAGGTTATCTTGGTAGTATTGCTTTGGCAGCTCAAAGTATAGTTTTAACAACTGCCTGTCTATTTTATCAAATTCCATTTGGTATTGCTGTTTCTAGTTCAAATCGTGTTGGTAACTTATTAGGTGCTGGTTTAGGTAGTAGAGCAAGACTTGCATCAAATGTCTCTTTAGTATTGGCTGTTCTTGTTTCTATGTTTAATTCTATTATCTTGTTACTTCTAAAAGATTCATGGGGGTAAATATATATACATGTATTTGTGCATTGTATATGTTGTGTATTAAAAATTTATTTTTCATTGATTAAACTAAATATCCCATTCATCTCATAGATATCTATTTACAGAAGATAAAGAAGTTATAGATTTAGTTAGTTCAATATTACCATTATGTGCCTGTTTCCAAATTTCAGATGCAATTTCTGCTGTTGGTGGTGGAATTCTTCGTGGCCAAGGCCGTCAAAAAATAGGTGCCACCTCCATTCAAAGTAACGCATATGGGTCAAATTTTTGTTGTAACACGAATAGTTTAAAGGCCCCAATTTCAAAATATATTAATATGTAATGAATGACGTTTTCTTTGAAAGCTAAAAATGATTATTGCAAAGATCGGAGGGTTATTATATATAATAGACAAATATTTTCGTTATTATATGCTGTTAAAAAATTCATATATATAACTAAATTATTGACCCACAAGTACACAATCCACTAATTTCACCTATACCATATAGAAATTGAAGATGGTCAGAAATCAGAATTTTAAACCCAATTCTTTTGAGTTTTGTTTGCATTTTATAATTACATATTAATGTATACAATTTGTTTGATATAATCTTTATTGAAAATTTTGTTTGTTAAAAACAATTGCTTTTCATTTTTGGTTTTTTAAATTTTTTTTTTTATTAATTTTTATGATGGGAAAAATATTCATTAGTATCAGCAAAAAAAATTTTTTATGCTTCAATATTTTACAATCATATAAATAAAAAATAGAATAACGTTGCAACCAATTAATGGCTACAATTGGAAATTTATTTCCATAAAATTTATACTAAATAATAAAAATGAATTATAAAGATTAATTAATAATTAGTTAATTTAACAAATAAAATAATTTTTAAGTCATTATATATAATTATAATAATAATTATTATTATTGTTTATTATAAGTCACTTGAATAATCTTTTGAATCAAATAATATTGATGATGATGATGATGTTGTTGTTGTTGTTGAATTTGTTATATCATTGTCAGTTAATGATGAATTAGAAATTGTATTATTATTAATAGTATCAGCATTAGTATTAAGAGATGATGATTCTTGTGATGCATTTTGTGAAGAGGATTGGTGATGATGGTGAAATGACAATTTTTGTGGAGGTGGAGAAACTGGATAATAAATATTTTTATTTGAGGAATTTAATCTTTTATCTAAAGCCTTAAGTGCCAACTCCCTAAAAAATATTTCAATTAGTTATATTAATGATTTATTATATATATATATATATAATTATTAGTCAATCAATTATTTATTTATTTGCCTTCTTCTTTCAGCCTCTGCTCTTGCACTTCCAGGCATAGCAGGTATT